AGGGGGGGGGGAAGGAAGTGGGTGGGGGCGCCGAGACCTGCATACAGTTAATCGATCCTGGCCCACGGCAGACGCAGAGCATGCAAGAGGTTCTTCTGCGCGCACAGGACGGCCTCTGCTGTTGCTAGTACGCGCTGACTCTGTCGCTTAGAGTAGTTAGGTGGGACCTTACAAATCACACGGAAGGCTTCGTTGGGATCCACACGATGCCCAGAATCAACCATGTGTGCGAGGATGGAGCTGTGTATGCGCTTAACTTCACCCTTCGTCAGCCATGTCGGCAAGTGTTCTCGTATTCTTGCGGATAGGCGCCGACTCGTATGACCTCGTTCCCATACAGACCCTATGAGAATTTATCGAAAGCGCGCGTAAGCTCGCCAAATGCTCTTCTGAACTTTGGTTGTGTTGCGTGAGGAGGGCCCGTAAAAAACCAGGTCGCAAGTCAGGCATTTTCGCATCTGTGAGAGCGAGGGAGAGAGGTCATAACATGCGTGACAAAGAATCGGGGTTCCAGGATTTAGTACACTTGACAACACAGGTGCTACCTAAAAGCGCCGACACGTGTTTGGTGGATATTCTACTGTTTGCATGCCACACCTGCGAGGGGTTCGGCTCATCGGCGCCCCCTCCCATCCCCGGCTTTCCCCGTGTGCTTTTTGGTAGGTACTCTAGTTTTAACATCCCAACTCCTCAAAAATTAGTGCGTTAACTTAGAGTATGGGTTAATATGTCCGGAATGTCACTGTGTTTGGCGTGTGCAGGTACGTCTTCGAGACGCAGCACTGGAAACATGTCGAACAAAAATCCCGAGCTTATCGCAGTCGCACACCCGTCTTCTTTGAACGCCACCACATACCATGAGACTGGTGTCAAATGACATTCTAATGTTATTTGAACAAGATCCCGGAAGGCGACTTGCCTAATTTCACTGCCAGTCGAGCGAGCAAATACGTACGTCCTAATGGCAGCATGAATGTGTCCTGACTGAAGTTGGCCTCACGAGTTGCGTATTTTTGGTTGCATGCACAGAGTAAACAGTGGCGCCTCAGGTAGGTCAACCCAAATGCTTGAGCTTACGCCTATATTAGAGCACGGCGAGGGGCTTAGCAACCGGAGCAAGATGTTCTCATTGGCTTGTCTGGGCTGCAGCAACAACCCGCACGCGCGACACGCTGACCCGAAGTGGATTTCTGCGCCCGAAGCATGACAGTCAGGCTGATACATGAAAGAACGCCAGGGCGCTCACTGCTGGCTCGTACGCCCTTCACACGATCGATCGCCGCCCTTTGCTACATGCTGCCTACCTGTGACTCCTTTACTAATATGACAGCAGAAATCCCAGGCCGATTGCGTTCAGCGCACGCAGAAATACCTTTCTGCCGTGCCGGGGGAGGGAGGGGGGGGGGTAGGAATTGGGAGGGGTGGCGACGCAGAGATTAGGCAGTAATTTAAGGCACGCGAACGTTGGCGCATTCTGTGCCCAGACAGAGACGCCGGCGCCCTCTTTTCTTCAGAGCACAGCATTAATAACCGGTGATGTGTGATGTCGAACAAAGAACCTCGCCTGGGCGTAACTTTTACCGAATGCAGGATCAAATACAGGCTTTCCGCTCAGCCCTGGAACTCCGGTGATCGCGGAACATATCACCTGTAAATAACTTGGATGTCCTAGGTCAAAGGCCATGATCTACCTTTATGACTTCCTACTTCGTAATATATCTGGTGGCAGCGGAAGGGTGAAGGACCCCACTTAGCTGTCGGTAGACTGTGGACCATGTCATATGAGAATGCTTGTAATGGCGGTGGGGAGGTTCGGTCTTACGGCACCACTTGATTGATACCATACTGATGGTTTCCTAAAGCAATTTTGGTTAACATACCAATCTTAACCACTCGCTGAATTAGGAAAGGGAAGAGGGAGAGCAGGCAAAGCTCAAAGCATACGCAAGGAAGCGCGCATGAACCGATGCTTGGTGTAACCGAAGGTGACGTGTGCACACTCTGCCGCGACACAGCCACTCTCTGGATTGA